TCGGAATTCTTTAGGTGAAAAAGACATTAGAAAAACATGTTCAGAAAGATCAAAAGCCGAAATCACATGACGAGAAGACTGGTGAGAAACCCAAAGATGACCATAAACATGAACCACATCACGATGAAAAAGACGTCAAGAAAACAGTGAAGATTAATCACGAATCACATCATATTGTCGCCAAAGGCGACAAGACTCATGGGGGCTCCGAAGCTAGCCAGCCTTGTGATGATGCGAAAGATGGGCGTCTGGACGATATGAGGGCAAGAAGTGAGATTGAGGATGGGGTACATATACCACGTAAAGTTTGTCCGGTTTCGGCTGTTGGGTTTGGTGATTGCAAGGCGTTCAGGGTAGGGTTTGTTGCTTACGCATAACGTTGCACTCCACTGAGTATTTCGTTCTTTTAGGTTTTGTCTGTGTTGTCTGATGTTCCGTTTAATACCGGTATTGTGTTTGATAAACAATGTGATGATTGTCGGTCATCAAGAATTCGTGGGACTGTGTCGGTTCAAAGTCCTTACTTTAGTCGGCGCGGTTTCTCTGGTAACTTTGGCGAAAAGTTTCGGGCATTCCTGACTTATCAGATTATTTCATCGCTTGGTGAACAATCACAAGCGATAGAAGAAGTGGAGGTGACCAGTGTTTGTTATAATACGAAAACATGTAACAGTGTTACAGTTGAGTTTACTATTCAATGTGATCCAAAACAAAATGAATTAATACGCAGTGCTTTGAATGAAGCTGTTCTTGGAAAAAAGGTATAGCTGATACTGTTTGTCTGTTTAAGTTTCGGTCTTCAATGCAATGGTAGTTGCTACTCTTTTATCGAGCAAACATCATTTGAATCTCTCTACAAACATAGAAATCAAGTGCATTCAGACCAATTAGAGTAAAATGCGTTTTGCTTTTTTTGTTTTAGTTCGATAGTTTATTGGATTTCAAACATTAGTTTTCGAATGTGTATATAGGTGGTAGATATAAACTGAACATTAATTCGATGATTAGCTTTATTTCTCCCTGAAATCTGTTTTCTGATTTTATTTTTACATGCACTGTAATCAAAGTTTTGAGTAAAGTAAAGAGTTCATTTTTGAACCAAAATATAATCTCATCGTGTTAGTGGATTACTGTTAATCATGTGGAGTGTTGTCAATAGTGCGACAGAAGTTTAAAAGCAAGTCATAGCCGAAAGAAAGAAGAAATTACACGTATTCTTAGTACTGAGCTGCTAGCAATATTACATAGCAAAGTTAAAAGGGTTAGACAGGGACCTTTAGTCACGAACAACATCAATGCAAAATTGAAAGAACTTAAAAAGCCCGAAAAGTTTCTTATCTTTTACGTATTAGCGCCACCTATAGTTCATCAAAATTGAAGAGAAGCCGAGAAAAATCCTAATGAAGACTATTGAAATAGTAAAACATAAAATTTAGCAGGTTTTTTAACATGGTAGATCCTCAAATGGCCGCAAGATCTGTGTCTAGCTCTTAGTAACGGCAACACAAACTGTTTGTGTTAATCATGTTTGTGACAAACATGTGACGCAATTTTGTCACAGGAACTGCGACACATTTTACTGCAAGACAAAATGCAACACAATATTTTTTACTGTGTGAAGAGTATGACACTTTTGGCTTCACCCTAAGGAAAAGGCTTTACAAAATTCTCTTTTTACCAAAATGTAGCCCGCGTTCTCTTTCGTCGATTAATGTAATTTTTATATTTGGTCGGTGCTTATACAACATAAAAAAGTTTCCATCAAACGTACAAATAATTTTGGCCAAAAAAACACAGACCTCTCTATTGTTATAACCATAGTTCTAGATGCAAAAGGCTTAGTGATTGCCAAATTTTAATATAGGGGGCGGAGCCAACGGGCAATCTCCTGGTAGTTTATACTATTTAAAAAAGCACCTTGATCACAGAATTATTAGCAAACACTGATCGTACAAATAATTTGGCTACTGTAATTACAGTAGCGGTCAAAATTATTTATAGGAAGAAACAATCTAAATGATTTAGATTGTTTCTTCCTAGAATAACTTTAACAAGAGATGAGCGTGAATTATTTCTACGCAAATATACCGCCGCTACACCTTTACTCTCAGTGCAGTGTGACCAGATGTTTTTTGTGAGAAAAAGTAAATCAATAAAAGGAAGTATTTATTTCGCAGTTTCGTAAAAAATGGAACATATAATCTGTTTTATGCTATGGGCTGTTTTCTTCCATTTTTTTTACCTGTTAGAAAAAACTTTACTATTGTCTTTTTTTTTAGCTACATCATGTGGAAATTTAGGTTTATTGTATAATACTTCTATACAAATGATATTTTGAAGTACCGGTGTTAAAAAGAATATCACTGTACGATAAAGTATCGAAAAATTAATATCTCAGTCAAAACGGGTAGTAGAGAGAGGAGATTTCTTCCGGAGGCACAGTTAGTTATCTAAAATATTTAAAAGAGATTTCAGCCTTCTAACTCTTTCCATTCCCGAGTTATAACTTTTTATTCTTTGGAAAAACCGATGCGTTTTGTTCTACATATTTTCTCTTGACACCCTTACAGGCGAAATTAAAAAATTCATAACTTTTGAAAGAAGAGCCATGCAGCCAAATCTTTTTAAGGTTAACAGTAGGACACTATATAACATCTGACGGCAAAGGATCATCGAAATTGGAGGGCGCCAGCTAGTGCACGCAAGAATCGTCTAGGCAACGAAAAAGACAAAAAGAATGAATAATAATAAAAAAGGAAAAACGTCGCTATGTTAAAAAGGTTTTGCTGTTCCATTTTGTGTATTTAATTTGAATTACTTTAATTAATGTTTGTATCCACTGAGGAAGGTTGAACTATCAATCGAAACGTCTTGAGGTAATTAGTACGAAGAAAACGTATTCATTTATAATTTAAAAAAGAGTCCTATCTAGAAACTATGATGTCGGAGTCTTAAGTAAGTAGCACAGTGTGCATCCAGGCGGACATTAGGCGAAAAATTAAAGTGGCTCATTTCTTTAATGTAACTAGTGCAAAATGTAGCCCTTGAAATTCTCTATCGAATGGTGTATGGATGTCTATTTTGATGTC